TTTTTTTTTTTTTTTTTAAACATCTAACCTTGTATATTTTACTGTTGGCTATAGCAATGCTTCTGTGCGTTCCTGGTCTTTCTGCCCTATGTTCTCTGCTCCCATCTGTCCCACCCTCCTCTGCTTTGTTCTCCTGTCAGATCTCTGCACCTCCAGGCGAAGTGAGACGTTGTTTGTTTATTTTTAACCCGAAGTAATGATTTACAGTTGAAGTGGGTGTGGTGTCTGAACCCTGGAGGTGATCTGGGTGGGGGTGGGGGGAAGGGAAGGTGTTATACAGTAGAATGCATCGATGGGAACGAACCCGTAGAGCAGAACACAAAGGCTGTGGGAAATCCATTCAGATTGTGATCTTAAACCCCCTGAAATAACAGCACGGGGCAGGAGATGGCAGCCTTATTTCTTCCCCGTTAAAGGAAAGTGTTACGTGGAGCTGAGGGAGGCTGAGCAGTGCCAGCATCCAACCCTGCGAGTCCCAGCGCCGAGGATGGGAAAGGACCAAACCTGCTGCAGCACTCATAGGAGGACATTCAGCCTTTATTGACGGTTGGGAAAGGCAGTACAGGAAAGCAGCAGTGCCAGACTGCCAGGTACAGCAGCTGTGTGCAGTCTGGGGCAGAAACCAGGACAAACCTGACATAGAGTTCTGTGGGGACAGGTGGTGGGTGAATACAGTGGGTAGGGGGCAAAAGGCATCGGTTTGTGGAGGAGAATGGGGTGACAGCTCTATTTTGAACCTGTTTTTCTCTCTTTCAGGCAAGAATCAGACACAGCTGTGTGTCAGTGTGATGCTGGTACTCCAGTGGGAGCTGTCTGCGGATGGATGGGCTGTGCTGGCTGTCAGCAGTACGTGATGCTCCTTGCATATGGCTGGGCAGCCCCAGCTCTGTGTGGTTTATGGGCTCAGATTGGCACCCGCTTTTCCAGCCCGTGCTTTGGAGTTGGAATTTTCCACCTCTGCCAGCAATGGGTCGTTGCTGGAGGTGTAATTCTCATCAGGGAGTGCATATTGTGCCCATCTTTGCCTCTCTTTGGTGCCTTCCAACACTCTGACTGCCACCAGCCGCCTGCCCCTCTTTTTTTATGTCACTTCTAGGATGTTTTGCATCTCAGCTTTACTACGGCTTCCCATGGCACCGCATCCAACCCCAAACACACCCACAACAACTGAGCTGCTGTTTGCTCTCCCAGAAAACAATCTTGGGGGGAGGAAAAAAAAAACCACCACAACCAAAGCACATAAAAATCCAAAGCGATTGGAGCTTTGGTTCCTTTTTCTGATTTCAGCACAGCGCTGAGGAGCGAAGCAGATGGGTTCCATCCCAAGGACAGCCTGGCTCCGCTCACCCCGCTGCGTTCCCAGGAGGGATGGAGGAGGTGAGGCGATGCTGCAGCCCACCGCAGGGCTGGGCTGAGCACAGGCTTCCTTAGCAGTGCCCAGGGATTTAAAATAAAGCAAAACCAAACACCTGACACCGTACAGAACCAACAAAACCGAACCCTGGCATGCCTGGCAATGGGGGAACAGGGAGGAGGAGGAGGAGGGCATCAGATGAGGTCGAATTCAAAGGAGCTGATGCTGGCGATGGGTGCTCTCCAGAAGTTGAAGCTGCTGAAGGGCAGCAGGCTGTCCTCCTCTGCACAGCTGGGCTCCTGGGCTGCCTCGGGCAGTTTGCTGTGGGGTGCATAGAGGGACCCCAAGCCCAACCCTTCCAGCTCTGCCAACTCCAACCGTGGGATGGGCATCCTCCAGTAGATGAAGGAGTCGTACTGACTGCTGATGGTGTCCAGCATGGTGGGGCTGCCATGGAGAGGAGGGGAGGGGTGAGCTGGGGTAGCATTGCTTTCAGTGGGTGAACCCCAGCCTGAAATGAAGCTGATGGAGGGGGGGGCAGCCTACCCTGCCCACAGGGCTTTTCAATGGCTGCTCCTGCCCCACGGCTGGGAAGTGGGGAAAAAGGGGGAGCAGGAAAATAGGGGAGCGATGGAGGGGGAAGGAATAAAGGGAATCTATGTAGGGAGAAGGACAGCACTGTGTGCTCTGTGGGTGAAGACAGGAGCCGGGTCCCAGGTGAGCCCCTCCCCAACAAAGGGCTCTCGTCCCATTTCTGCCTCATTTTTGTCCCAATTCCCTCCGTGTGCATCGCTGAGCCCTCCCGAACGCGTTACACCACCCGCAGGTTTCTGCTCCTGCGTGCCCCCATTTCACGCCCTGCATCCAAAGAGATGACCGAGGTGTTCCTCTGAGCCCGGCCCTGGGGAGGAGGGGGGGTTGGCGAGGGGGGGGACCGACGGCTAAATTTGAGCTCCCCCGTGGATGGGGAGGGCTATGAAAAGCTGCCGTGTGAGCGCAGCGCTTTGAATAGCCGTCTCCGGGGGGGTTGGGGGGGCACAGCCCCGCAGCGCTGAGTTCAAAGCGGAGGGGGGTTAAAAATAATCGGGATCAAAACGAGAGAACCTCCCCCCCCCCCCCCCAAAAAAAAAAAAACCACCCCAAAACCAAAAACCCTAAAGGTGCCCCCCGACCCAAACCGTAACGAAAATCATTGGGAAAAGCTGAGCGATGTGCAGAGCACCGCAGGTGGGCACGCAGCGCATCGCCCCCAGCAACCGCCGTCACCCCCAAAAACCCGCACCCTGTGTCCCCACCCCCCCCCGGGACCCCCACCCATCAGGGCCGTACCTGCGGGGGGCTGCGGGTCGCTGCTCCTCTTTGTGCCTCCTCGCTGCGGCGTCGCTTTTGTCTGTTGGCGCAGCCGGGTCTGCAATGCAGCCCCTCGCAGCGCCCGACGTTGGGGGGGGGAAAAGGAGGGGGGGGGAGGGAAGGGGGGGCGTGGGCAGATGAGTCAGCAGAGCCCCCACCCGCGTGGGGCGGACAGATGGGATGGAGGGGGGTGGAGGGATGAAGGGATGGAGGGATGGAGGCGGCCCTTCTGGGGGGCATCGCCCCAATCACGGCCTCCAGGCAGCGGCTCTCCCTACGGATGAGGCTGCTGTGGATAAGCGTGGGGAGGGAGCCGGGGCTGCCCTTGTCCCCAAAAAGGCTTTGCAACGTTTCTGGTTGTGGAACAGCTGACAGATTTCTCCTTTGTTTTATTTTATTTTTGGTCCAGAAATTGACATTGAGGTGGAAAGCAGTGCCAGGAGGTGAGCGGTCCGGCAGGGCGGGGGGGCTGCATCCAGCCTGAGCGAAACCCCCCGCCCCAATGAGACCCCCAGCTCTGCTGGGCACCCCCAAGTCCTGCACAGCCCCCCACTTCTTACCAACACCCCCC